CTTCTCATCTCAACGTCTTCTACTATGGGCTTGCTAACTGCAGAAATTCAACCTGGAGACATGCTATACCAAGAGTCTGACAACATCTTAGCCCATGATATCTCCAGAGTTTATGAAGTAGAAGCAACTCCATCCATTACTCCACCACATAACGACGTACTTCTTCCAGAACCGCAGGCTTCGGGGGAGAGTTGTGACGATAATCTCCTTCAAGAGATTGAGCCTGCTCTTCCCTCCAAAATTACGTCTTCACAATTATATAAAAAGACTATGGAAGAAATGTCCAACAACAACACCAGCACCAGCAAGGCTTGCAAGGGTGAGCAGAAACGTATGCAGCCCGCCACCTGTTCGGACCCAAATCACCAAACTACCCGTTGATCGCTACGGCTCCGCTGATTGGTCGCCGGTCTGGCTGCACCTGCACTCGCCCCCCAATACTACCCGATGTCTGGGGTCGCCCCAACATCAGTCTTCAGAATGTTCCGTGCTTTCGTAGCCAGCACTCCTCCCAGCTAGACTCTAGAGTGTACTGAGAGAGGTGGTGGCTTTAAGCCAATATTCCAGCACCTCCCACTTAACTTTTGTGTTGCACTTCTTATTATTTTGCCTTAACGTAACTTTCATTGTGTCATTTAAGTATTCTTATTATTTTGATTCATTGATTTTATTATACATATTTGTTTGTGCATTATTTTCATGTTTTGATTTATTTAACGTAATTAAAATTTCATTGTTAAAGTTTTACTTGTGTTTTGTGTGTCTTCTCCTTACCTTACCACAGACGAAGTTCCAGTTTTTCTATTTTTTTTTATAACTATGTGACGAGGCCATACCCCTAGCCTTAAACAGCCGAACCCCAACGCGTTACCGTCACAAAGGTTGTTTAAGATTCGCTACCTTGAACAAATAGTTCCAAGCAGCACGAGCTATGGTGAGCCCGTAGTGGTCTTAAAATTTTAAGGAATTCACCCAAGTGCCACCATAGCGGTTGCAATGCAGGAATAAGGTCGAAATCTGAGAGCACTTTAGATATTAATATTGTCCGTGAATTCACTAGACAATTTTGGCCGAAACACCCCTCAGCGGGTGTCACTAGTGGGTGAAACAAATGACAAGATACACTATAATATGCAAACTGTTCTTATATGAGACTGATAATTCCGCCACCGCCCACAGGATGGGCATGGAGTCCGTAATAAACTAAGTAACCTAACTAGATGAAACTTTAATTGTATCCTATCATTAAATGAAAATGTCCTAATTACGTCAACCCATCCTCCTGAAACTTGTATAATATGACGTGATGGACCAGCTGATAGAATTGTGTATTATTAATTTTAGAGAGTCCGGAAAAAAATAAAGCTAAAAAACAAACTTACATTCCTTGGCCTATTATAGCACACACATATATGTACCTAAGTGTGTATTAGGCCTAGGATTGTTAGGAGACCTTATGTATTAGGCCTAGGATTGTTAGGAGAGCTTATGTATTAGGCCTAGGATTGTTAGGAGACCTAATGTATTAGGCCTAGGATTGTTAGGAGACCTTATGTATTAGGCCTAGGATTGTTAGGAGAGCTTATGTATTAGGCCTAGGATTGTTAGGAGACCTTATGTATTAGGCCTAGGATTGTTAGGAGAGCTTATGTATTAGGCCTAGGATTGTTAGACCTAATGTATTAGGCCTAGGATTGTTAGGAGACCTTATGTATTAGGCCTAGGATTGTTAGGAGAGCTTATGTATTAGGCCTAGGATTGTTAGGAGAGCTTATGTATTAGGCCTAGGATTGTTAGGAGAGCTGAGGTTTTATATTAATGTTGCTGATATATATATAAAAGTTTCGACCATAATATGAGAAACAGGTCTCGTTAACGTGGTTCTTATACGCAACAACGTTCACGTGTAGACTCTACCGGTTCTGCCCCAGAGATGGTTTTTCTAAGGCAGATGTAACTCAGTCAAATGGCAGGCTACGACGACTAGGGCGTATGGAGAGAAACCGGCCGTGACCTAGAAACTGGAAGTGGTAGTGGGGGGCGGGTTCCCACAACCCACCAGACAGGATACTGGCGGTAACGCTTCCCCTCCAAGATACATACTCCCTTTCGGCGTGTGTGTGTGTGTGTGTGTGTGTGTGTGTGTGTGTGTGTGTGTGTGTGTGTGTGTGTGTGTGTGTGCACTCACCTAGTTCTGCTTGCGGGGGTTGAGCTCTGCTCTTTCGGTCCGCCTCTCAACTGTCAATCAACTGTTACTAACTACTAACTCATTTCCCCCCCCCCCCCCACACACACACTCCCAGGAAGCAGCCCGTAGCAGCTGTCTAGCTCCCAGGTACCTATTTACTGCTCTGCTAGGTAACAGGGGCATCAGGGAGAAAGAAACTTTTTGCCCATTTGTCTCCGCCTCCACCGGGGATCGAACCCGGAATCTCAGGACTACGAATTTGAAGCGCTGTTCACTCAGCTGTCAGGTGCCCTAACATCTCCAGTTTGGCTGGCTGCCACCAATACGGCAGCCATGGTCTCATCTATCGTAAGACACAGGGAAAGATTGCCAGACATGAAGCAGTCAATGACATCATCAAGAGAAGTTTAGCTATAGCTGAGTGTCCAGCACAACGAGAACCTCAGTTGTGCAGACCTAACAACAGCCACAAACGCCTAGATGGAGTCTCCCTGCAGCCATGGAAGGAAGGTAGACAGGTCGTATGGGAGTACACGTGTGCGTCTACACTGGCTGATACCTATCTACCTCACAGTACAGCTGAGGGAGCCGGAGCAGCCACCTTCAGGGAGATCCAGAAAACTAGTAAGTACAGGGGCCTAGAACGTTCTTACAGCTTCGTACCAATTGGCTCTGAGACCCTGGGCGCCTGTAGTAAATGTGCATTTAAGTTCCTAAAGGAGGTGGGTTAGGAACTCATTAGACAAACTAGAGACTCAAGATTGGCCAGTTTCCTGTTCCAACGCCCTGGATGGGGTCTTCCAACTCTGTTTTCTGTAAATTATTCATAATAAATAAATATATAATATATATATATATATATATATATATATATATATATATATATATATATATATATATATATATACATATATATATATATATATATATATATATATATATATATATATATATATATATATATATATATATATATGTATATATATATATATATATATATGTATGTATATATATATATGTATATATATATATATATGTATATATATATATATGTATATATATATATATGTATATATATATATATGTATATATATATATATATATATATATATATATATATATATATATATATATATATATATATATATATATATATATATATAAACACAAAGGGCTTCAACCCCTGCAAGAGACTCGAACCCAAAAGGCACAGATGTTCGCACACCTGTACACAATTAGTAAGCTAACCACTTGACCACGCTGATCCTTAAAAAAGATAAAAACTCGGGAGTTTAGCCTTAACATTTCGACCTCCCAAGGACACTCGCCACTCGCCATGATAAGAGATCTATACATATATATATATATATAATATATATACACACTATACATATTGTATAGTATACATACTATACAATATGTGTCTATTGCGTCTTAACGGAAGGATTAATTATTAAATCCAACCTTAATGGTGTTTGGTTATTTAAGAAGTTTTCATAGAAGTACACAAAGTTTTCATCTTCCTTAAATTGCTTAAGCTAAGACGTCTTGTATACCATAAACCATCAAAAACTTCTTGTTACCTATAGTGTAATTATTTGTTACCAAGTATTTCTTAAGGTGCGTTTTTCTCCCTCCTTCAAAAAATTAATTTCGTTAAAAACTATTCCAAACTAATATGCTTTATTTGCTGTTAGGCTTACGGCTTAATTAACCACGAGGGTAATATGCAATCAGTCAATACAGGGAGATGTCAATCAGGCATCTACATGGAAGAATTGGCGCTGTAACTGCTGGCGCGCCTCGCTTAACCTGCGACACTCACTCAGGTGAGACGCGCCTCACCAATCAAGGAAATTGAAATTGAAATAAGTTTATTAAGGAAGTCAAACGTTCACCAACACGTCCGCGTACATTAAATCCTCACCTCTTGTAGGCGTTTCGCTCGGTGAATACCAATGGCAATCTATGGATTACCCTGGGCATTAGCCCAACGCTGTAGGTGAATGAGGACTTCTTGTTTGTTGACATTTTATTAGAAATATTCATTTACTTTCACCAAAAGTATCTGGGTTGCTTGAGACTTCCAGAACCCAGGTCTGGGGGAAAGTTAAGCGCCTGGGAAACTTTTCAGATGGCGGATTTGCTTATATTATATTTTATACTAGTGGGTGAGTGTGTGTGTACTCACCTAGTTGTGCTTGCGGAGGCTGAGCTCTGGCTCTGGCTCTTTGGGACCGCTCCTCAACTGTCAATAAATCAACTGTTTTTTTTCACACACGCGCACACACCCAGGAAGCCGCCCGTAGCAGCTATCTAACACCTGTTGTGTGTGTGAATGATAAAGATTAAGCCACCCAAGAGATGGCACGGGCATGAATAGCCCGTGGTATGGTGCAATGCAATTAACTGCTTCTGACACCTCAATCCCCATGGACAAAATGAAGGAGATCGAGGGAGAGAATATGTAATAGGAAAAATTCGTTTTGGATCCAAGTATTTATGGAGATTTTGTATGAAAGCGACAGAGTAGCAGAGTTGCAGAATCTGTGGTACGGGAGTGGATATCGCCTTGCCCACTTGAGAGAATGTACCTACCTAATCAACATTAGATACATTCGTAATATACTAAATATCACTTTGTTTTAGGTGGGAAACAGACAATTTATCAAAGATATTCTTTCTCAGCTGATAAACTGTTTTATAAATACAACCTAAACCCTTATGACTGAGGAAAAATCTACAGGTTTGGTAAAGTTGCTTGATGAATCCTTGGTGATATTATAACCCGACGTGCTCCTTTGTTCCTCAGAGTGAGCGAGCTGCTGGCCGTCGTCAGTCTGACGTCCACCTGCATGTTGTTCCTACACACCAGCCACCTGCAGGCCCAGCTGGCGGTCTACACCAACCATCTAGACCAGACAACGGGGCCACACAACCAACATCGTAAGGCACATAATATATTTACCCTATGGCTTTGATTACTATAACAGTTATGAACAAACATCGTTACAGGAATTTATTGGAAAATAAGCCGAAAACTGTTTTTTGGATGAAAAAACATCGATTATGCCAGTTTTTTTATTGGTTCGTTTGTTTAATTTTGTTGGCAGAGTACTAAGCCTATTATTGTTCTTGTGCAGGCGATGAGTCACAATAACGTGGCTAAAGTATAAGGACCAGACCACACACTAGAAGGTGAAGGGACGACGACGTTTCGGTCCGTCCTGGACCAGTCTCACAATCGACCTGAGAATGGTCCAGGACGGACCGAAACGTCGTCGTCCCTTCACCTTCTAGTGTGTGGTCTGGTCCTCATTGTTCTTGTGTTTTGTTTTATTAATATATTTAAGTAGGTGCACATTAATACAGTAACACTATACCAGGTGTGTGTGTGGCCCGCGACGCTCTGGCTCCTTCATCCCCACCTCCACCACCAAACTAGCGTTGTTTATCTTAAAAGTACTGCATATGTATTACCAAATTGATGTGGTGAGTCTATTTAAAAGGAGCCTGAAGGTTCCAAAGTGTAGGATTTTTGTGAATATTACTCCAGTAGATATCAGATATTTTCGGGTTTAAGCAGCCTAGTGCACGAGTTTTAGCAGTCCGTTTCGAAGAGAAATTATAGACTTTTACTGCATTGAACATTGCAATTGGCGAAATTGATGATGTAACTGATACAGTAGAACATGCAATATTTTTATGGATTGCTGATGAAATTATGCAGGAAACAAGAGTTTATGGAATTTATATCAGTAATGAGCTTGGTCGGAATGCTTGTCAATTGGGCGTTTATTGGAGAAAAGCTGTAAACCCGGCTTCAAATGATGGGTGGAAAAGCTGGTATGGCTTTAAACCTGAAAGAATTGCTACTGATTGTAAACCCCAGCCATGTATTTCGCAATTGACATTGCATTATTCATACAGAAACGTTGTGCAATAAACATTACAAATTGATAGCACGACCCATCCCACGAGTAGTGGGATGGGTCGCTCGTGGGTAGCACAGTATACCCACGAGCAACGGCAACTATCCGAGCACAGTCTTAACCACAGACAGATCAAATGATACACTAATGAGTTACGTGGGGAAATACAAATTTTCATGGAGCAGAAAGGAAAGTTACCTCAGGGCACAATCAAATTAATAACATTTTCCACAACATAATATTTGAAATACCCAAAATGTGTCCAAGTGTGAAAACAAACACAATTGGGAACACTAAAGTTACCATAGAAGACCGAAATGTTACCACAGAATAACGCCTTGTTATCACAAAGTACTTAAAAAGTGGCTGAAAAGTACCTCAACATATAACAGAGTATTACGAACGCCACAAAATATATCAGTCACCATTAAGCTGCCACAGAGTGCCACGATCTATCACAAAACAAGCAGGAAAATAATATGAAACTAATATGAAAAGACCCAAAAGGAAGGAAACTTCTGCCCGAAACGCTGCGCGTACTAGTGGCTTTACAAGATTGTAATTACCATATTATGTATCCTCACATTCCCAATGTACCTTCTTGTATATGCATAAATAAATAAATAAATAAATAAATAAATAAATAAATAAATAAACAAATAAATAAATACGGCGAAGTCCCGCTGAAACACTGATTCCCGAAATCAACACCAGGTAGACGGCAGGTTAGTAACCGTACTCTACATTTATCATAAAGTACCATAACGCTTGTGCTCGATCTCCAATCCCTTTATGATGTGACGCCTTATACTGAATTTTGTAACTAGCTCATCAAGATATTAACTTGCTTAGCTAAATGAATTGTGGAGTTCAGTCCCTGAGCCCATTACGTGCCTCTGTAACCCTGTCCACAATCGCCCACAAGATGGGTATGGGGTGCATAATAAATGAACTAAACTAACTAGCTACCACAAAGTATCCCGAAAATGGTACAAAGTCCCCCCGAACAGATTGCAGTACCAACATATATTTGAAAGGCAAATATATCAAAACATATTTTACTCAAATAAAATAATTCATGCTAAACACAAAAAAATGTTTAATATACGTTTATCTCGGTGGCTAAATTCGGCACAGCACGTGTCGCAAGCTCATTCCCAATGTAAATGTATGAGACCAAGAAGTATTGGTTCCATTCATCTGGGCTCTAGGAGACTCGAACTGCGGACCCCACGCGTATGAGGCCGAATCTCTATCGACCGAGCTATTGAGTAGTATTATTAAGATAAGTTTCCAGGTTTTATTTCCACGAAAAGTTTATTTCCAGGGAAGTGTGGATGTAGAAGTATTGGCTCTCCCAGTCTCGTCTCCGGTCACTTGAGTGCTCTAACACGGCCATAACAGCAATACAGACGCCAGAGTTGCACAAGACATTCCAGCTCTAATAATAACACATCAATCTCTAAGCATATTACGTTCACATGTTCTAACTGTTCTTCAAAGACACAACTGAACACGTGGGAATTGCCACCTTGTCAGTGACCAGTGGCAGGCTGGGGGAAGCTGGTTAACGTTAATATAACATTGAATCAACGTTGATCCAGAGTTATTTAGGGGTTATTCTAGCATTTAATTATAAATAAATAAATAAATAAATAAATGTTTATTTAGGTAAGGTACAAGAGATTTTACCAAGTTTGTTGGATTAATAGATAGAGCTAGTACATACAATGCCTAAAGCCACTATTACGCACAGCGTTTCGGGCAGATTGCTCTTCGAGAGTGTACATCATCACTCTTCTTCCTTCTGTCGTCTAAAGGGAAGCGGGCGTTTTAACCCGCTTCCCTGGTTTTTGTTTGTGATGAGATTTAGGCTGGAGGCCGCTTATTGAAGCAGGTTTGGTTTTTATGCACCATTTGTATGAGTGTATTACATATCTGAGGATGTGTGTTGCCTCAGTTGTTGGAGTGACTCCGGAGCCCCACGAGGAGGTAACAGTAGGACTTGCACTATTTATAACCTGCTATCATCTCGCATAGTTCTTTCAGATCCCATATACACACTTGTGGTATTTTGTACAACAAAATTACTGGAACCTCAAATTGTAGTGTGGCGATGGCAGCTTCACCTACGATGTGCAGTAGTCCACTAGATTTTTCTGAATAAGTTTCTAAGTGACATTTCCAAGTGCAGCACTGCAGAAGGCTTCTTTCTTTGAACTCCCCCTCGGCAACTGTATATTTGTCGTCATCTAAGAACTTTCTCTGTCCATGAAAGAGGTCTGAATAATTGCCACTTATCTTCTGTGAAACACACAATGACAGTTTCACTGACATACAGTTATCTAATGAGAGGCCGACCTTATTAACGAGATAGCCAGCTTTTGGTACAGTTGACAGCCTAACACGTTCAGCCTTCAGTGAGTTTGGTCTACGCTCACCGCCCGGGCGTCCCGCGCACTACAGCCGTCGGCAAGGTTGCTGACCGGGTTTTTGCCCCGTCTAAATTTTTGGGGGGTTTATCAATGATACCTGGTTGATGGGATTCTGGGAATTCATCTACTCCCAAAGCCCGGCCCGAGGCCAGGCTTGACTTGTGAGAGTTTGGTCCACTAGGCTGTTGCTTGGAGCGACCCGCAGGCCCACATACCCACCACAGCCCGGTTGGTCCAGCACTCCATGAAGGAAATAATTTAGTTTCCTCTTGAAGATGTCCACGATTGTTCCGGCAATATTTCTTATGCTCGCTGAGAGGGTGTTGAACAACCGCGGACCTCTGATGTTTATACAGTGTTCTCTGATTGTGCCTATAGCACCCCTGGTCTTCACTGGTTCTATTCTGCATTTTCTTCCATATCGTTCACTCCAGTACGTTGTTATTTTACTGTGTAGATTTGGTACTTGGCCCTCCAGTATCTTCCACGTGTATATTATTTGGTATTTCTCTCGTCTTCTTTCTAGTGAGTACATTTGGAGGGCTTTGACACGATCCCAATAATTTAGGTGTAATGTGACGTTGATTATCACCGCCTAAATACCACAGGTATTGCATTCGTTCGTGTCTGTGATTGATGAATATCTCAGAAACGCCTTTATCTATTTCAGTGTCCACGTGTTGTGAGTGCCCAAAGTCACATTTGTTATTTGATTAATTTAACAGCACGGAACTCAGGCACTGTATCGTGTTGCAATTGTTAATAACTCACTTCCGAACAGTTTGGCCTAAATAATTAATATTTGTGAGACAATAATTGACTGGTAATTGGTTCCAGTCTACAATATGATGCGTGTAACACTTCCTTCCACCCCGCCACCCGCGCGAGTATAGCGCCTACCTCTGCCTCCACACGATGATGGGTGATAAAGATTAAGCCACCCAAGAGGTGGCACGGGCATGAATAGCCCGTAAACCGCCTCCACACAGGTATAGAACATATTTATATCTACAGCCACGTGTGCCTCACCTACGCTTGAAACAATCCTCACCTCTATTATGTTACTTGGTAATGTGTTCCTTAAAAGTTCAAGACTTTTTACAAACCAATAAGCCATTACCACCCACAGGATGGGTATGGGGTCCACTACCACCCACGGGATGGGTATGGAGTCTATTACCACCCACGGGTACCATTCACTTTATAGAGTCCGGAAAAAAATAAAGCCAAAACCAAATATTCCTTCACGTAGTATAGCATATGTACTATATTAGGCCTCAGATAGCGTGTATTAGGCCTAGGATGGGTATGTTAGGCTTTATTAGCAACATAAATACAAAACCATTTCCTGTTTGTCCAAATTCAATAGTATCAAATTTGACTTTCTAATTGTCCACTTCATCACTATATGCACGATGGTCTGCGTCGGTACTCTAAGTACTGTCTAAACAGGACACACCCATTAATTCAACTATCGAAATCATAATGTGAAATTGACTAAAATTCGATTATGCAAGTAAACGAGGTAGACGAGGTGATAAGGACTGGGGTAACGAGGTAGTATATCGAGATGATAACAGAGTGATAACGAGGAGATAGATAATCAGTCATGATCTGTTTCTTAACATGATTACGTTTTTAATATGAAGGTGATTAAATTATTTTTTTTTGATCTCGTAATGACTTTGATGGACTGCTGTCATGAATGGAGTTCATCATTAGTGTCTTGTTTATTCCTGCATGCAACATGTTATAGTGATTATCTGTGATTAGTTTTACCATGCGTGACGTTAATGACTTGCGCTAATGATACTGTGCATCCTGCATGCAAAGTGTGCTGCAAGAAGTTCAGCCTTCTCCGCGGCACTGGTGGCTATAGAGCTAGTGTGTGCACAGAGCTAGTGTGTGCACAGAGCTAGTGTGTGCACAGAGCTAGTGTGTGCACAGAGCTAGTGTGTAACAGAGCTAGTGTGTGCACAGAGCTAGTGTGTGCACAGAGCTAGTGTGTGCACAGAGCTAGTGTGTAACAGAGCTAGTGTGTGCACAGAGCTAGTGTGTAACAGAGCTAGTGTGTGCACAGAGCTAGTGTGTGCACAGAGCTAGTGTGTAACAGAGCTAGTGTGTGCACAGAGCTAGTGTGTAACAGAGCTAGTGTGTGCACAGAGCTAGTGTATGCACAGAGCTAGTGTGTGCACAGAGCTAGTGTGTGCACAGAGCTAGTGTGTGCACAGAGCTAGTGTATGCACAGAGCTAGTGTGTGCACAGAGCTAGTGTGTGCACAGAGCTAGTGTGTAACAGAGCTAGTGTGTAACAGAGCTAGTGTGTGCACAGAGCTAGTGTGTGCACAGAGCTAGTGTGTGCACAGAGCTAGTGTGTGCACAGACCTAGTGTGTAACAGAGCTAGTGTGTGTACAGAACTAGTGTGCGCACAGAGCTAGTGTGTGCACAGAGCTAGTGTGTGCACAGAGCTAGTGTGTGCACAGAGCTAGTGTGTAACAGAGCTAGTGTGTGCACAGAGCCACCATCAACCTATAAAAATTAGTATTAGTCACTTCAGTGAACAATATTACTGAATAGACATTCGTCCCTACACTCTTTCTCGCAATAAATAAAGCTGCGTTTTGACCATTCTTATGATATACATAATATAAAATAATGTCAGCCATCTTCATTCCAGCGGATGTACTTGTACTGTTGATATATTCTTTCCAAGTGTTCATAAAAGGTGATGAACCATGTTTGTGTTGTTCCTTGCAGACGACGGCCTCAGCGACACGCTAGACCGCAGCGCCAGTGCAAGCGGCGGACATGATCAACACTACTCCCCACAGAAACTTAAATTTGGTGGCTTCAATTTGGAGGAATTTCGAAATGTGAGTAACTGTGTACGGCCAATATACATTTACCCTTCCCTTCACTCCTTTCCTCATCACCCTTTCTCCCTCTACCATTTCCCTTATCATTCTTCCTCCCTCCATTCCCTCCCTCATCAGTCCTCTGTCCCTTACACCTGGCACAGATAAAATTCTTCAACTCATCTCCCAACTCAAAATATAGATTTAACCATTTCCGAGTAACAATAAACCATATGTATAAATCAGTAAAATATGTTTTCGTTAAATATAGTTTTGTCATTTCACGCAATTTTTCGTTTTTTTTTGTTTACACCATTACCCAGCTTTGGGATGAATATATCTAAACTCTTCACAGATTGACCCCATGAGTCTGAACAACACTGTGAACCACCACAAGTTAACTTTGGTGTTTAACCGCGTGCCCAAAGTGGGCAGCCAGAGTACTATGGAACTGCTGCGTACTCTCAGTTACAGGAACGGCTTCACTTTCCACAAGGACCGCCCGCAGAAGGTGGAGAATATTAAACTCACAGAGAGAGAACAGGTTCGCTTGCAATGGTATTGTGTTCTCATTTTCTCTAATTTTCTGGTTGGAGAATTTGTTTATGTGAATTTGGTAGTCATATATTATCGTAAGGTATACGGAGCTTCTTGGTGTTAGACTGTATCAACGTCATTCTTGGTGTTAGACCTGTTCAAGTGAGGTTAGGTATTTAATAGACCATTTAATGAATGCTAGTGATGGAGAGGTCTGGCGAAGTGTGGCGAGGTACGTGTTAGTCCAGGTCAAGTGTGGCACTAGTTCTAGTAAAGTGTGGTGCTTGTTCTAGCAGACAGTACTAGTAAAGTACTAGTTGAACTACTCGTACTAGCACAAGTGCTAGTGTGGTGCTAGTACTAATAGAGATGGTGCTAATAAATTGTGCGAGGTGTTTGACAGCCCAGGTCAAGTGTGGTAAAGATGCAGGAACACTGGTATAATGCACCGAGATGTGGTAACGACAGGCATCTCTGAAGTGTGATGTAGTGACTGACAGTTCATGTATGGTTAATATAATAGACAGTCATATCCTGGCTCATCTGGCAAGACCGGTTAATTCTGACCTGTTATTGTTGCCCCACAGAGACGGTTGGTGCAGCTGGTGGACGTGTTCAGACCCCCGTCCGTTTACGTCAAACACGTGTGCTACATCAACTTTACAATGTCAGTGCCTTTTGTGTACCATTTTGTAGTATATTGCACCATTTTGTAGCATACTGTACCATTTTGTTGTATATTGCACCATTTTGTAGCATACTGTACCATTTTGTTGTATATTGCACCATTTTGTAGCATACTGTACCATTTTGTTGTATACTGTACCATTTTGTTGTATACTGTACCATTTTGTAGCATACTGTACCATTTTGGAGCATACTGTACCATTTTGTAGTATACTATACCATTTGTAGCATACTGTACCATTTTGTAGCATACTGTACCATTTTGTAGTATACTGTACCATTTTCTACCATATTGTTCATACCTACAAGTACCTATACACCTACTTATATTACTACTAGTAAGAGTTGACTTTTAAAGTTTGCAAGTTTGAAGTGCATTTTGTTGTACACCTGTAGCAACAAGGGGGATTATGGACGTTTATTGATACTACTTTTTATTAGCCATTCATTTACAAGATTGTTTCAAGTGATGAAGTGGTAGTGTATTGTGATCGCCAGCCTCTTGCTAAAATATCGGTCTCTTTCCTTCCTGCTGCAGCCTGATCGAAATGATTACAGTTCCTGATCTGCCTTGAAATTTTGCTTTACATAATGTTGCAGATTTCAGGCGATAAGAGCGTCAAAATTGTTATGATCGTCCAAGTGTGCATCTTTATTATTACTTTTACTGCTACAAGTATTACTGATAATGATTATAATAATAAATGCCATTAATGCACTCGCCGCAGTAACTCATGTCTGAAGTAAAGATAACCATTCTGTTCCATATTACTGGCTTATAATGAACATATATTTCGAATTTCCGTGTAATCTTCATCATTCATGTTAGAGGTTTTGTAAAGGTAATATCTAAGCCATGTCCGAAATTCTTTGTCTACTATATAAGCTTCTTATAAATATATTGTACACAGTTAAAAAAATGCTGTACAAAGCTAGATCAAATTATAATTTTTAGAATAATTATTGTAATAGTCAAATTACGCTGCAGAAAAGCTCAAAACTGTTTGTTGAGAAAGTTGGTTGAAAATTCCCAATTGCAGATTCAACATGACACAGCCACTGTATGTAAACATGGTGAGGGACCCCGTGGAGCGAGTCATCTCCTGGTACTACTACGTTAGAGCTCCTTGGTACTTCGTGGAGCGCAAGCAGGCCTTCCCAGAGCTGCCTCTGCCCTCAGCTGCCTGGCTTCGTAAGGTAGGTCAACGACGTCATATTACACTAACCCACCCAATACAGTGACGACGTTTCGGTCGGTCCGGGAGCCTTACTAAGTCTAGTCACGACGGACAAAAACGTCGCCACTTTCATCTTATCTCTCGTGTGGTTTGGCAGCTTTGTTTCAGACACGTTATTGTCACTTATACTCAGCATGATATTACATGGTCATGATGGGTACTGTATATTATATATTTACAACAACAGAGGCTTCGAAAGGTAGGCTGCTCTAAAGTAAAAAAAAAAAAAAAGGGACAAAAGTTACCATCGAAAAAACGTGAATTTTGTTAATATTTTTCTGCCTTCCTCTGGAGTTGAATTCAGTATAGCGTCATTATATAAAAAATCACTTTACAAAACATTTCTTTTCTGCGTTTTTGATGATATTGAAAGCCTTCTTATTTAAAATGCTGAAATTGTAATGTTAAAATTTTAAATTTCCGATTGTTTCTCTTTTTTAAAATCAATACATTTATTTTTGCAAATTATTTCCCAATTAATTAAATTTATGCTCAGGTTTTGCTTTGATTTGATGTTAAGCATAAGGCCCATCAATCGTTGGGAAAGAGGAGAAAGCCATGACTATAGGCTACTGACCAACCATTAAGTAAACTTTAGACCTGAGTAAATTTCAAGATAAACGCAACACTTGCGCACTAACAGGTGGGAAAACCCCTCTCGATCGCTGTATATATACTAAAAGGGCACGAGTCCCTTTGTGTAAGTACACTAACAGGTATAGGGATACTCTTCAGGATATATGCTGACAATTCGTTGTGCTTTAAATCTGCTGGCCTAAGTAGTCTTGACACATCTACAGCATTGCACTGAACACGAATATTTACAGTATTAAAAATGTGTACATAATTAATACTGTTACATTACTATGTAAAGTAACATACAACATGACTAATTCCACAGGACTATGAGACGTGTGTCCTGACGGGGGACAAAGAGTGTCAGTACCGGGAAGGAGATGAGCGCCCGGACTTTGCACAGCTTACTGAATTCTTCTGTGGCCAAGAGAAGAAATGCACGTATGTATTATTTGAGATTTTATTCTTGCCTTCCATGCAGTGAGGATGAAGATTAAGTAATTTGGTTATAGGCTGTTGAATTAGGCCTACGGTTGATATACAACTATTTTGTAATAGTGTGGATATAGATTGGACTAGTTTATACAAGGACCCGCACTGCTGAAATGCTTAAGCTCTTTCAAACGGCTCTGGCTGAGGCCAGGGAACGTATGGTGGAGCTGAGGCAGAATAATAATGACAACATACTATAATGACAGCAAATAAAGTTATGTGAATTTATAAGTATTTCTGGATGCCGGGGACAGAAAGCGCGAGCTTGTGTGCGCAATAAAATAAAATAAAATAAAATAATAAAATAAATTTAAACTTTAGGCTTGCATCTACGTCCCCTTTAGGTTGAATTACTGATCTTCCCAGGATGTAACCTCGCAATCATGAACCATAAACTTACTAGATGTTGTTAATTGATCTTACTAGATGTTAATTGTTGGTGCGACTGGTCGTTTTGATCACCAGCCTAATATCAAAATGGCGTTTCACAATTTGCTAATGCTAAGATCGAGAAAATTTCTCCGCTGACACCAACTATGCCAAGTGATCATCTGACACATAGTTACTCCTGTGGATGATTATTCTCTCGTTATTGAGGAACTACAAATGTGTTAAATAAAATTATCAATCTCTAATATGCTGATGCATTCACTTAGTCGCTTCTCAACGCAAGTCTGGCCCTACATTGCGTTTTATTCAACAACTTTATAATAATAATAATAATAATAATAATAATAATAATAATAATACCTTTAAAAATATACAGAACATGACACTGGTTAATTAGTTAAGAGTACATATTTAATAAAGCCATTATAGTACGCAAATTCTTCATGGTCGCATATGAAGAAAATCCTGTGTATTTGCATTTTTACCACAAGATTAAAAATTAGGAGTAAAAATATGACATTGCGAATATGTTTAACAAAACATTTATTTTCACAGAGGCTTCAATACAGACTATGCGCTGCAGAAAGCTAAAGAGAACGTTGAGAGGAACTATGCTGTAGTTGGGGTTCTTGAGGACCTCAACACCACCCTGACCGTCCTCGAACACTATGTTCCCAGGTTCTTCAAGGGAGCCAAGCACCTCTACTGGAGTCAGTACCTAAATCCTCATGTTAAACTTAAATGGTGTGAATGGCGGGAAAAATATTTTGGCTATATAATTATAGTGTGTGGGTTGTAAACAAGCAGTTCTCTCTTGGTCGTGAAGATGGAATCATAAGAGAACGAACCTACATTTGAACTCGCTGTTCGTAACTGGATGTAGAAGTTCGTCTTTCTATCAGCATGACAAAGAGAAAACTGCCTAAACGTTGAGATTGTTGGGGCTGACGGTCCCTAAATGGGAATGTAAACCGTCAACACTAAGGGGCTGGAACATGAGACGTGTCCCTCTATGGGCTTTAGTTTCCCAAATTTAGTTTATCGACCAGCTTTTTCGGGAACTTTAGTACGTATTTGCCCTATGAGTCGAGGGGGTTTCCGAGTCAATCGGAACGAAACTATAGCAATTTTAGTTCACATAAAACTTCAGGATTTAAAACTCCTGTGGCGATAATAATTGATTTTAGTTTTGCAAAATTAACATTTCTTATATTGACAATAAATAAGTTTAATTTCAAAATGTCATCTACATTGCAAAATAAACTATTGTATATTTTTTTCTCTCAACAGACGAGGTTCAGAAATTCAATAAAATCAACCGGAATATCTACAAGCCACCTGTTGCAGAGAACATCAAAGACATTGTGAGGAAAAACTTCACCAGAGAAATCGAGTTTTATGAGTTTTGTAAAAGACGCTTATATATGCAGTACGCCGCCCTAAATCTTCCAGAGACTCAACCTACACAACCCTAAAACGCCCAGAGACAAGCTATGCTACCTAGAACTTCCAGAGACTTAAGCTATGCTACCTGAAACTTCCAGACACACTTTAGGTACACCACCCTAAAGTCTTCAAAGACTTTAGCTACACCATCCCGAAGCTTCCAGAGACTAGCCATGCCATCCAATTGCTTTTAGCGACACTAGGTATTCCCCAAAAGCTCCCAGACACACTAGATGCGGCTCCAAAAACTTCCAGAGACTTTAGGTGTTATCCTAAAGCCTCTACACGCCACTTTAGGCATGCCATCCTAAAATTTCTTGATATGCTTTACATACGGCTCTCTAAAAGCTTTCGAACCACTCCGTATACTCCGTCCAAAATCTTCCAGAGGTGCTAAACACACTACCCTAAAATATAAGTGTGTGGCGCTATGAACCTTCCCGAGACACATTAGGTATGTCCCCTCAAGCTTCCAGAGACACTTTAATAGTAGTGCAGCATTTTACAGCAACTTAGCATATCTGAAGATTATACGATAATGTATCTCCTGAGACTGATGGATGCCTACTATTTATCTTACATTGCAACATTTTGCTATTAAATTGCGTCTGCGCCATTTTTATACAGATATGGAAATAATTTAGCATATTAAATACTGTACAACTTACTGCAGTAAAACAGTATAATAATATGTACGTGGTTAAATTAACACTTTTGTAATTTAAACTTTATACAAGAAATAAAACTATTGCTAGGTTAGACGAGGTAAGGTAGAGACTAAACACTTCAGACTCTTTGTCTGAAGTGTTTGGTCTAACATGTCCAGTGTGTTAGTTGATAGAATGTTTTTGTGATATGTTGTCGATACATCAATGAAGAACGAACCTAATATTATTCATTCAAAATTCATGATAACTGCTACACCTATTTGATAATATACCAGTACACTAAAAGCAGTATGTTACATTTTTGATGCCATATGTTACATCAAATATAATTTAAAAACCTGGGACCACTAGCTGCTTTAATTATATTAATAGTTAATAATGCAGACCTGAATGTCAGTGGTTCTTATTTAGTGCAATATTATAATTTCCTTACAATGTTGAATTCATGCGAGTTCAGGATATATACACACACCAATATGTATGCCATGCCTTTCGATGACTATATACATCGAGTTTATTTTTGTCCTGAACCATGTTCAAGACTAAAGACTATTTGCAAGTTGGTCAGTAAGGCCTTAATAACCCTCCAAAGGCTGATAGATTTCATGCCTAAAACTAGCCAAAACAAATTCATGTATGAAGATCTTAATCTATTTTTTTATGAGTGAAAATATTATCTCAGAAAGTGTCAGTATTATACCTCTTGTAGTTTAAATTATTCGTGTACAGTACCTCTTTTATTGAGTATCAGTTTTGTGGATAAAATTAGCTTACTTAATTTTTAGGCTAGTTGTAGAGGATGGATATTTTAATTGTCATTTATAAGTATTGGCAATCACATTTTGTACTTTTGACGAGGGTTTGTGATATTGCCGTCCAAGCTTTAGATTAAAGTGTTTTAGAGCGAGTTGTTATTCTTCATACATCTTTTGCGTGCGTCGTTTTATAATTAATAATTTTGTTATATCACACATTACTCCCATCCTTATTAGGTACCTTTACTAGTCCATTGTTAACTATATTATTACGTATTCATTGTACTTTCTCATTTCATGTTTTGATTCTATGCACAAATATTTTTCTCATCTCACCATTTATTGTTTGGTCATTTATTGTTGAATCAATTGTCAGTAAACCCATTCCTTATTTCATAATTATAATTTATCTACGGATCTCTTAATTTATTTTCAACCCAACCTTGAAGTATGGATAGATGCTCAGTACATTTCAGTAGATATATTCCTCCGGGATTGTTGACATTGTGTTATATACGGTACTTCATTATCAATGACAAACCAGCCCGTCCTCTCGAGTGTTCACAACGTCACTAAACTAATGTACTAAATTACTCGAACCTAACCGAGGGCCTACGAATAGAAAACGCGACGTCACGTTAATTTTTGCGAGTCGCTATGATTTTCAGTAAATCATTTTTTTGGCCTAATGGGATTTATACGTCAAAATGAAATGTAACATTGGCAGGGACGGGTTGGACAGACATCATATTAGCATCTCGATGTTTTTTTGAGCATGAGAGATTGTAATGGTATTGTTTGGTTCACATGTAAATAATTAGTTTTGTCACCAGCTGCCGAGGACTGTTGAGTTACCATATACTGAGAACAATTATTGCGTTTGTTACCACGAAGAAAGTTTTGTTAGTCACCAATTACATGTATATACTAAGGAGTTGTTTTGTTTGTCTCTGTGGTACTGTCCATACTGTGGGTGATACAACACTGCCTTCACCGTCGGTGATAGTCTTTACTGTGGATACTGCAACCTTCACTGTGGGTGACAGCCTTTACTATGGGTGATACAGTACTGCCATCAATGTGGGTGAAACAACCTTCACTGTACACAATGCAGCATTCATTGTGGGTAATACAGCCTTAACTGTGGGAAATACAACCTTCAATGTATGTGATACAGCCTTCACTGGGTAATGCAGATTCACTCTGCGTAATACAGTCTTCAGTGTGGGTATTGCAGCCATCAGCTAGGTAAATAATGTATTAGAGTAGATGAAAACCTTTTGTGTAATTTTAAACTTAATAATCGACATTCTTGCAGGCAAGAAAGTTAACTGATAGCCTTTATACCCTTTTATATTGAATAGTTGTTATATACTTGACAGTTTGTTTTACCCCACTTGATAATGTTTGGTCCCCGGAGTGAATATGAGCTCCAGATCAATAATATTTGAGTTTCATACAAAGTACTGTACTATTCTTCAGGTATTGTACTCTAATGTGTGTAATGATTGTCCAAATTAAATATATTGTACATATAATATTTTTATATCCACTAATACAAAAATAATATTATCAAATAACAATTTTTACTATAAAATACCTGAATTTCAAATTATTTCCACGAGGGAGACTCAATACCCAGCTTGATGATAGGTAGTTTGTGATATTGAATAATGGTATCAAATACTACTGTAATATCTTTGCTTCTTAAGTTTGTCTTACGAAACTACTCAAATTATGTTGTGCTGAGGTGGTTCAAAATATAAATGCAGCAAATTATTCAGTAAGTGGTGTTAAAATACAAAATAAGAAAGATCTGGAAAAAGATCTTTCCGGAAGTGCCAGTGGCTCCCTGATTTTGGACATCATTCCTTTCCCGCCGTCCAATCCCAAATCATTATCCCGACACCTTCCCACTGCTATATAGTCTTGTTCCCTCTTGTTCCCCATGGAGTTTAGATACGATTCCCCATCGAGCCGCCACGATCTCCCGCATAGAGCTCCGCGACTCCGGCCTCACTCAGCTCTGCTCTGCTCCAAACAACGTCTACGACACTGCCAATAACCGACAGCTGTAATCAAGACTACTAAATAAATATGAAACCCACTAAACACTGTATCTAATCTACCCAACAACGTAACATAATCGTACGTTACAGTCACATCAGTCGCGGAATTCTCAAAAGAGGGCACCGAGTCGGGATCAGTCGAGGAAGTTGTTTGGCTTACCGGGTCCCAGAGCCAATCTCTGTATACCCAGAGAGGCAGTCAGCAAGCGACAATCCACCACCCCACCAGAAAAAATAAGCCGCCCGAAATCTGCCAAGCGTTACACACAATTGGAGGGCTCACAGAAATCCTCGAAACCGCCTAAGAAATCTTGGCACGATTCACACACAAGAAATTCACTCAAACTAGCTCGACACTCGTTAGTACAGATTTCAAGTAGCAGACGGCCCGGCCCTCAGCCGGCTGCCCAGGTCAGCTTGGGAGCTGATAAGCAACCCACGATGATCGATCCGACGAACATGGAGGGATGCAGTCATCGGGAGGACAATCCCTTCATGCAAACTGCATCTACTATCAAGAAGAAGAAGATGGAGGGGGAGGTAATTGGGGAACCACCGGGGCTTCTCCTGAAAGGGACGTTTCATGCCATTCAATACTGGGTCTCTGGTGGAAGCCCCGCCTCAGTGGCTCGCTGAAGATAACTAACTACAAAGAACAAAAGCAGGACTTACCAGAGAGGCGGCAGGTCCTAGGATGAAGAGCACCCGCCGGTAAACACCGCCCGAAGGCAACACCTGACCAACTGGGACCAACAACGTTGACTTTGGACGCCTGGTGCTGGTGATCCATACTAACCTGCTTCCAGCTATAGTTTTTTTTAGGTTTAGTTAATTTACTATGACCCCATACCCATCCTGTTCGTGGTAGTTGAAAAGGTTATAGAGGCACATAATAGAGGTTATAAACACATAATATGGAGTCTAATGCTGTGCCACTAAATTCATTCACCTAAGCAAGTTGCAGTTTTGATAAGCTAGTTACACAGTTTAATGTATATTAAAGCACAGAGACTGTATTACAAGTACAGTCTCTAAGCTCAGCAAGTTACATTATGATAAGCTATTTCAATAAATTTTATATTTATCCTGCCTACCGCCCCGACCATTGGGCAGCGATGGAAAGGTTACAGTCGCCCACATTTACTACCTGTATACAGTAGTTAACAAACTGAGAATATTTGACTAAAATTTCTGGTGGATCATTTTGAATTATTTACATATATCTCGAACATTTGTTAGAGTTATCTAAATTTAAGTATCTTTTCGCACTATATCACAGTTTTGGAGGGTGTGGGAATAGTTTACATTTGGTCAGGTCTACATCAGCAGGTAATGCAAATTCCCAGAGATACTTAATACAGAGTCTAAGCCAAGCAGTGGTAACACTTAGGAGTCTACTGATTTTACTGGATGATCCATGGTAGTATAGATATTTGCATGGTGGTACAGTATGGGTAAGAGTGAATCCCTTGTTCTGTATGAATCGTTTGCAGAGTTGTTTGGCAGTTTCCCTGCCCAAAATGTTTGGGTACTAGCGCAAATATTTTGCCCTTGCAATTAATAGTACTGTAATTTTAATAATTTGTAAACTGTGGAATAATGTAAAGCTCCCTGCGAACTGGGACATTATGTTGTATTCCCTTCATACATGCTCTTGGAGTTTGTTCACATCACTTACGTGTGCAAAGACCCTCTCTACTGTGCCCACTTATGTGAACTCCGTCTTAATGTTCATCTATGTTCCTACTTTATATTCTACATCAGTTTACTTTATAGTTTAATAAAAGAAATCATGTCTGGAAGTAGGATAGTGCTCCATGGGCCTATATTCAAATACTGTACCAAATTGTAACGAACTGTTTAGTTCAAGTTTCCTCCTTTTTCATCTTGTTAAATCTAATAATAACCATAGTATGCTAACCTATTGTACTCTAATAAAAAACAACTTAGGTTTGCTTATCACTTCAAGGAAGACCCAAAAATCATGGTTTGCACAAAACCTTGAATTGAAACGAAAAAATGAAAGATAAATAATGTTAAATTTATTAATAATACAAACCTTCATACAATATATCAAATATACAAAGGAGATTCCATAATTGAGGAGCTTTGAGAAGAGAGCAAGTCATGTAAGTATAGTATCATACAAAACTCAAAGTTGGCAGAAAAACTACATGAAAATATGGTCACTGCTGACCGGACTACATATTTACCTTAAGTCTTGTATGTAGCTTAGATTAAAGTGTCATTCTTTATAATATACTATAGAGATCATGTTACTTCTTGTAAGGGAAGGAGAGTTATCAAGACGTAACAAGAAAATGTTGGTGGGAGTCATAGGATGACACACTTGCTATATGCAAATAAACATTGTGCTGATAGGCTCTACCTCTGGATATACCATACACACACAGTATACTGTAAGCACTAGCTCTCAATTTTCATAAATAATTGTGAAAAGTGCAGATACCCATTTTACATGCAGGTTAAGACAAATATCTAAATAAAAAATATAAAATTTTTCCTTTACAGTACCAGTACCATGAACGGTTTGCACCACACGTTTATAATATATTGTACAACTCCAGTTCTAAGAGTAAACTAACTGTTAATACTATACAGTAATTCAAAAGTAGAATGGTATCTCATATTTATAACAACTATGTAATTCAAATACAGTATACTGTATTTACAATAATCTTGACCAATTCATTTCAGGATAGTTTTTGTTCTACAATACAACCCCCTCCCCTATAATCTGGACAACCCATTACAGAAACCCTTAAATAGCACAAGGAATTTGTTAATGGAAGCCTCATTATTTTGGCTTACTGTAGCCTATTATAAAGTTATACTAATAAAATATCAATGCATTCTTAAACATAAATCATGCTAAATATTACTTTAAGTACTGTATATACAGGTACTGTACAGTAATTATTCAAAGATGCCAAGCTTAAAAGACTATAGTAAAGTCTTCTATGGGTTTCTATAGACTAAAAGTCTTTAGAAACCCATCCCCCTGTTTAGGTAGTATTTATAGTAACTTCGATTAGGACCATCGAAATATTGACATAAAAGGATATTAGAAAGTAGAAATTGGTACTATTGAATTTAGACATAATGGAAAACGTTTTTGTACTAATGTTGCAAAGAAAACTTAACCTGATCTATCTTAGGTCTAATACATGCTACCCGAGGCATAATATAGTACATATGTGCTATACTAGACCTAGGAATATTTAAGTTTGGTTTTTATTTTTATTTTTTCAGACTTCATAAAGTGAATAGTACCAATGTACCAATAGTACCAAATAGTACCAAGTACTATGTATGTATGATGGTTCACATAGTTACAAAAAGTACTATATAACAGGAGGATGGGTTGGTATTAGATACCACCATGGAAGAAAAAAAAAAAAAGCAATGTCAAATATATCAACTTAATCTAGGATTTTATCAAGGGCCATGATACACAAACAATGGAAAAGCATGATTTCTGAAAATCAAAAGCATCACCCTAAAAGTAAGGACATCCTAAAAGAAAGTAATTGCATATACCTAAATGTAGTTACAGGATGAGAGCTACGTTCGTGGTATCCTATCTTCACAATACTCTTTGTTGTATAATGCTTTGAAACTACTACTGACTGTCTGTCAGTTAGAAAACTTTTCATTCATGTCAAAAGTCTCCTCGTCACCCCGCCAACATGTTTCAGTTCCCAGAACAACCTCTTGTGTGGGACTCTTGACAAAAGCCTTTTTTAGGTCCAGATAGACACAGTCAACTCAACCACATCTTTCCTGTAGTACCTCAGTAGCTCTGTCATAAAAACTAAGTACAGTAGATTTGTTACACAGAATCTTCCTGTTCGAAAACCATACTGTCTGTCTGTTATTATGTCATTACTATCTAGGTGTCCAACCCGTTTTTGCTTTAACTATTGTTTCTAGTGTTTTGACTCACATTTGTTGGTGATACAGGTCTATAATTTAGAGGTTCCTCTCGACTACCATTTTTATAGATTGGGACTATGTTTGCCTTTTTCCATATATCTGCTATGATTCCTGTGCACAAGGATACCTAGAATATTAATTGGAGTGGAATGCTCAGCTCAGTTGCCCATTCTCGCAGCACCCAGTGTGAAACTCCATTAGGTCCAACTGCTTCATTTCTTCCTAGCCCCTCGAGTCATTTTTCCACTTCGCCTTGAGATACCTCTATGTATTCTATGGCATGCTCTGGAAGTGGTATGGGGTCTGGCTTGCTGAAATTCTCATTTTGTACAAACACACTTTGAAACTGTTTGTTTAGTATTTCACACAAAATTATTTTTCATTCTCTGTAGTCCTGTTCCCCGTTCTCAATTTTTGGATTTTATCCTTTACACTCAGCTTGCTTTTAATGAATTTATAAAAAATGCCTGGATCTGTTTTACATTCGTCTGCCATACCTTTCTCAAAGTTCCTTTCTGCCTCTCTCCTCACTGCTGTGTAATTGTTTCTTGCATGCTTGTATCGCTGGCATGTTTGTGGGTTAGGCCTCTTCCTATATTGACCCCATTTTCTTGTCTTTCCTCTCTGGTCCTCTCAATTTCTGTTGAACCAATCCTGTTTTCTGGCTTTGGTATGAATGTGTGTGCCTTAATCATGTATTTTGCAAAATTTGTCATACATCTCATTTACTTCCTTGCCTTGCAAGGAAGTGTGCAGTCCAGCAAAGTGCATGACTGTTAGTGGTAAAAGTATCACTAAGTAGCAAGTTTTGTTTTCTATGTTCCATTTAATGTCCATGATAGTTAATCACTTTGGCCAACACATAACATAGGCAGAGAGAGAGATTTATCACCTGTTATGATGGCAGGAGGCAGTCCATGGCAATAGTTTGTATCAAAAAGTATGCAACTGTTTTATTTATTTATATACAGTATACAATAACTAATCATCTCTCTCCAATGGTTGAAGATTGTGTTAATGAAGGAGAAATTCAAGTAAGGAATTAGTTTTTGTGAGATGGACCAAGCACGAATGGCTTCTTTAGCAGTGGCATCAATGAGGTCAGAGATAACACCAATATGACTGAGAGCACAGAAAAATTTGCCTGTGTGTTATATATGTTAGTTTCAATACTTCATTAGTCTATACCATCATATCACTGTATTATGGATGCAATATAATTTTATATCTAATAAGTATCATCATTTGAATAGTATATCAAAAGAATTCAACCTGTATTGAGATACTATTTAAAAAAATTTTAAGCATGACATAATAGGGGGCATGCTCGTGATACCTCATTCATTCATAAAATAAACCTAATTTCACATACCTGCAAGTGCTGTTTCGTAAGTAAGTAATTATCAAAATAAGGTACCAAACCGGTGCTGTTTTGTAGACTACCAGATATTTTTATCTTTACTATACAAAACAGAATTGTGAACAATCCAAACATCAAAAATCTAACTTTTTAAAAAATCATGCATTTCAAAATAATTAAAATTTCTGAAAAGCAAGTGTTACTTTGCTGTTCTCCAGTGTTGCAAAAGCACCACACTTGTGGTATTATTGCTTGATATCCTGAGCTGGTGGTGATCATTTTATTTTAATTTTCTCTTTCTCTCATAATGGCAGTTCATTGTCTAGTTAAGACTAATGGTGCTAGTGCTAAAAGAGAAGCAGGTTTTTGCTTACAGAAATGCAAAACATTAAAAAAAAAACTGCTGGGGTCATGCGCACATAATTCACTGCTTGTAAGTTATGCCACCGAGTTGCATCTATTTCCAAATATAAAAGTGAGTTTATTTCTTAGTATAATTTGACGTATTAAAAATAATGGATAATTATATGTATTGTGGAATAAAAGAGGAAAAAAGTTTGTTACTGAACAGATGACAGTTTAATGTTTTCAATTAATTAAATCCTGTTTAATGGAACCCTCTACTACAAATACTTAAGTGGGAATGAACTACAGTAAATACTGTCTAATTTACTGAATTATATATGTGTAGTACAATATGATATTTTAACAAGAAAAAGAGCTTGCACATTATGTAAGATTTACAAAGAGGGAGGGATGGGTTTCATGCAGTGTCATGAAAAACGACAGTGTCGGTGTCAGTTTCAGACGACACCATGCAGTGTCGCTTGCATGTTTATCCACACCCAACAAACAGTTCAACTTCATTTTTTTCCCCCCTGTATTCACTTCTCTCTCCTTCAATAACTATAGGTAATATTGTACGGTTTTCTTTTATACAGTAATTTATTCATTTTAGTTTAGCTAACTCAGTCTGTGACAGGAATGGAGAAAGGGAGGTGATCAACTCTTGCCACCACTATAATTCTATTTTCTATATTTAAATACAACGTCTAATAAGTTTGCATAATACAGTGAAGTATGCATGTGTGAAGGTAAAGACTGCCAATGAGTCAGTGACCAATATGCGAGAGAGGGAGATAAATTTTCAAAATAAAAGCAGTATGGGTGTGAGGGGGGAAACAAGTGCAATGTGAGCAGGGAGGGAGGAGATTGGGATAGGGCTCTAATAAGGAAGGGAGAGATGGGGAGGAGGATGCGAGAAGGGTAGAACGGAAAGCGAGCCGACGGGGAAGACCGAGCCAGTTAGTAGACTGCTGTGCCATTTATCTTGCAGGGAGGAGCGGGGTGTCATAAGGTGCATAAGGTGGGTTGGTTTGTTGCATTACGTTATATCAAACCAGCCCTCACATAACCAAGCCTTGAAAAATTAATCACAGGATTGAGGATATCCCCTAACCTTTATTGATTGCTCTAGCAACGTTTTGTACTGCCAGCTCTTTCTCACTGTTTATCATTTGCTTTGTTACATTTTAATTCAGGTTAATTTTATTTATTGTTGAACAGAATATTGTTACAAATGCTTGGCCTGGAATGCATCCCATATTTTCCATATCTTTAAAAATGACAGTTCAGCAAAGCACAGGGCTCTAGGAATGAAACCCATGATGCAACTGGAAATCAGTCTTGCTTTTGTAAGTAAATAAATTTTGTAATTATTTCTTTATAGTGTATATACAATTTTATCCATAAAGCATGTTAAATGACAAAAACTATTGAATAAATAAGAGAGCAGTGTTAGTTACAACGTACTTTAGGATAGCTTATGGGTGAAGGCATAACAAATTTGGAAATGTTTTAAATGCAGAACATGTTTGGCTCTGGCCATACCAGATTTTTGACACTACTATATCTTTAAAGGAAGTGCAGCCTTCAAGGCCGTGCTAACATTGTACAGACATCTCCATACTTTTTCCTCACTGAATACATTAAATCAGTTGTACATTTGATTAAGACACAAACAAGTGTTGCATTATAATAAATACACTCTCTTATAAAGTACTATACAAGGACCTATAATACTCACGACGGAGTATGGAAAAGCACAAGAATACCGGGAATCAAAAATATATTTTATTAATATCTTTGTAATCAGTTGGGCCATTCACACAAAAATAAACATTTATGTAGATTAAGCCAAATGTGTGGATCTCTCTTAGCTGACTTTTATACTTCTACTTGTAAATGGAACTAAGTTGATAAGTATAAATATACGACACACAGAAAATTGGAAAGTTTAATGGTAGTAAACCTTGTATAAATTTAACTCTAAAAAGCTTTGCTAAAATCAGCTTCCAGTGTGGAATACCACCCTATAATGATTACACTAAATGTGTGTCCACTATAGTTGTCCAAGACTTAACTAGAAGAAGCTCTTTTCCAAGATATGAAAAAATAATCCAGAAACTAGACAATAAGAAATACCTTCCATTACCACACTACATCTTTAGTTTATTACAGATCTTACGAACTCCAATACTACTTTTAAGTTTTCAATTTTTAGATGAAATCAGTTAAATTATTAATGTATAGTATACAGTATATAAATATATTATAACTAGACAGCGCTAATGCTCAACTGAGTTGAACTAGTAAAAAAGCTTCTGAATACCTACCAAATATGCTACAAGTGAAGACAGAATCAAGAAATGTATTATAAAATGTCAATATAATAAAATCTAGAATTTTATAAACAACCTACCTTGTATTACAAATGACAAGCATAATTCAAATGCTGTATATTAAATGTACAAGTTCATGGTTTGTGCTAAATATATATACAGTATACAGTGTGTATATGTGTGTGTGTGTGTGTGTGTGTGTAATTACCTAAGTGTAATTACCTAAGTGTAGTTACAGGATGAGAGCTACGCTCGTGGTGTCCCGTCTTCCCAGCACTCTTTGTCATATAACGCTTTGAAACTACTGACGGTCTTGGCCTCCACCACCTTCTCACTTAACTTGTTCGTGTGTGTGTGTGTGTGTGTAATTACCTAAGTGTAGTTACAGGATGAGAGCTACGCTCGTGGTGTCCCGTCTTCCCAGCACTCTTTGTCATATAACGCTTTGAAACTACTGACGGTCTTGGCCTCCACCACCTTCTCACTTAACTTGTTCCAACCGTCTACCACTCTATTTGCGAAGGTGAATTTTCTTATATTTCTTCGGCATCTGTGTTTAGCTAGTTTAAATCTATGACCTCTTGTTCTTGAAGTTCCAGGTCTCAGGAAGTCTTCCCTGTCGATTTTATCAATTCCTGTTACTATTTTGTACGTAGTGATCATATCACCTCTTTTTCTTCTGTCTTCTAGTTTTGGCATATTTAATGCTTCTAACCTCTCCTCGTAGCTCTTGCCCTTCAGTTCTGGGAGCCACTTAGTAGCATGTGTGTGTGTGTGTGTATGTGTGTGTGTGTATGTGTGTGTGTGTGTGTGTGTGTGTGTGTGTGTGTATATGTGTGTGTGTGTGTGTGTGTGTGTGTGTGTGTGTGTGTGTGTGTGTGTGTGTGTGTGTGTGTGTGTGTGTGTGTGTGTGTGTGTGTGTGTGTGTGTGTGTGTGTGTGTGTGTGTGTGTGTGTGTGTGTGTGTGTGTGTGTGTGTGTGTGTGTGTGTGTGTGTGTGTATATATATAAACTGAAAACTACACACCCCAGAAGGACTTGAACCCAGACAGCCAGTAGCACTATGCACCTTCAGCCAAATTTGTAGGGTAATGGTCTTGGGTATGGGCTGGACATAGGCAGGTCAGGGTAGGCCTAAGTTAAATGCTCTAAGCAATATAGTCTGTAACCCACCACTCCCTGTATGATTTTCATTAATTTGGAAATGAAATTGGGGATGTGTTGTACATGATGTTGAAGTTGCTCCTCCCATTTACCTGTGTATTTACAAAATTTACTTTATGAAAACAAATGTCTATCTGTTCAGGTCAGAGGAAAAGAGGAGGGAGGGGGTAGGAGGAGATGAGAGGAAAGAGGGGAAGGGGAAGTGAAGATGGGGGAAGAGGGAGGACATGGGAGGATAGGAACAGAAGAGAGGTGGAATGGGAGGTGGTGGGAGAGACATACTATTCTGGGCACTGCTGCATACTCCTCTAAGTATAATATACTGTATATTCTTCATGGAAAAATGCTACCGATGTTACTTTATTCTACTACAATAAGCACCGTGCATTTCAGCAGCTGTTAGGTCTACAAGAGGTATTTTTATTGCTTTACAATTATTATTATTACCATTATTTGTTGAGTAATTCAACAAGTGAAATGTAAATTATTTACAAGTTAAAATGTAATTTTTTTTATTTAATATCATTAAATAAGTATAACATTAAAGTTATCTTGCTTTTATCTTTATCAAAGGTCTTGACATCTTACTCCTTTTTGTAGGCTCCCCATTAGGGGTGACCATGACAAAATTATAGTCAAGACATCTGTTAAAAACAACGACTAACTTGACAACAGTGCCTATTTATAACACTTAAATACTGTATTCTATTTTGGGCTATTTTTCTGAGGAATATTTACAATAAGCAGGTGCAAGAGGTGGAGCATCTGGAGCACTGTATACACACTCCCCAGCAATAAATGTGTGTAGCACCTCCATAGGTCCCTTATCAGACACCAAGAGAAAATCAGCATCAGTACCAAAGTCCAGGGAACCCTTTAGATGGTCAATGCCCATAACCCGTGCTGGGTGTAGAGTGGCTGCCTCAATACCTTCAACTAAACTAACACCTGAAAAATATGAATACAGTACATATATATAATACTGTAAAACAACTCTCAAAAATTTAAATAAAATTTTAAGGCTTTGTAAAGCGACATTAGCTTAACTGAAGCCTTAGTGCATAATATAAAAATATACATAATACCTCGCTTGTACAGGTCTTTGTGGAGCTAAAAGAAATGGAAAAAGAAAATAAACTGGGTTATAAATTCATATCAGCCAAGGAAAAGATAAGAAATCTTGGAGAAAACCACCCCATAAAGAAAATGAGTAAACTGCAGCATCTGAAAATCAAATAGAAAAGAGGCTTTTTCATGGCAGTCTTCATTTATGGACATGATGGAAAAATAACCCAAGTACCAGGACATCACAGTGCAGGAAGTGATACTGCAGACAGCCACTTCACAGGACATAAAAAAGGAACATTAGTCAGTAACTAGAGAGGAAAAAATAATAGTAGTGATAGGACTAAAGGAACCAGAAATAACAAAGATGATTAGAGAGGGAGGGACATAGTTAAAGTGACTGGGATTATGACAGTTGCATAAGGTAGGGATTTTAGGCCAGCATTTTCAGCCTAGGCCATTATAGGAAGGGTTATATCAACTTCCAAATCTTTTTCCTATCACCAGAGGATGGAGGCACATGCTGTATTAACAGACTAACGCCAGCAGAGTGTAGGCAAAGCTGGCAAACATTAGTCTTGCCCTCAGGCACCTGGAGAAGAAAACTTTTAGGATGTTGTTAAGTTCCTTATTAAGCCAATACTACAATATGTAGCCAGAGTGTGGAATCCTCACCTGAATAAACACACAGAAAAACAGAAAGTCCAGAGATTTACTACTAAACTTCTCTTGTATTTAGAGGACTGAACTACAGTACAAGGAAAAGCTAAAGGTACTAGACCTCTCAATCCTTGAAAAGAGACGGGTAAGAAGCAATGTGATTATGTCGTATGATCCTTAAGCACCATTGACAACGTGGACAAAATTAAATGTTTAGCATTAACAACATAATAGGACATGTATGGAAACCAGAAACTAATATGAGCCATGTGGATTAAAGATATTAATTTTTGTGTAAGAGTAGTGAACAAGTGGGATGAGCTAAAATGGGAAGTATTTGATGTTAGCTTCATATATATTTTGAGGAGTAGGTATGATATGAATCAAGGAGGACGGGAGCCATAAATTGTAAATTGGCAACCAGCAAAAAATGTTGGAACCCAGTTGATGCTCACCCTGCAAGCCCATATAGATGGGCTTCTTACATTTTAACACAAACTTATACACAATTTCACTTACAATTTCATACACTATTTACTTACTTCCTGTTAAGTAATGCATTGTTATAATGTTTTGCTGGTGTTTTATGTAATACAAATATCGGCTAGGTTGTACCAAATAATAATAATTTTGGCAATTCAAATTACTTTGTCAACTCCGAAAACAAAACTCTTATTCAAAATAAAACATTAAACAAAATTAACTAACCTGCATCTTTAACAAACTGTCTAACACAGTAATCCATAGTGACTATGGAGCCAGCAAGAGTATTAGTTCCCACGAGACGTGCGCAGTGTTTCTCTACCAAGACCTTCATCTGTCCAATATGATGCTCCCCATCACTTAGACCCATTGCAGCCATTGCATCTGTTACTAGCACTAAACCTGCCACAGCATGACAAATAATGTTATTGATCAATGCAAGAAAATCAACTAGCATACAATTTTGCATGTCTAAGGTAGAACAAAAATGGGAAGAGTACTCTACTTTTAGTATGTCAATTTCATTTATTGAACAGTACTTCACATAAAGTTAAAAAAAAAGCACTTAAAAATCAGTTCATATTAAAAATACAAGAGGTGAACTCTGTACTGTACCTTGTGGATGTGTGCGATGGGCAATCCTGAGTGCAGCTGGATGGGTGTGTATCCCATCAGCAATGATTCCATAGTGGACAGGTTTAGAGATTAGGCGACTTGTAAGCAAACCCACTAGCCCAGGATCTCTATGATGGAACTGTAAAATATTGACCATATATTGTTCAGGATCCTGAATAAATCCTAATTACACTGTAATGTTTATAGATAACTTTTCTATTTAATATAATTATGTGTACTTTCATTTGATATAATAAATGTTCATATCAAGATACTTTTATCTGTACACCGCATCCTTGATAATCTGGGCCCTCTACATAAAGAATCTCTAAGTAACGAATAAAATCTGCCCAATGAATATTCTCCCTGAAATTCAGATAAAAAAAACAGGCAATATGAAACCCTGATTGTCAGTGAATCACAAATAATTACATAATTTGTTTAATTGTTTTTGTTAATTTAAATTTTTTATTAGTAAATAATATTCAAAAATGTACCACATTTATAGTTTATAAATATTTTAATGAGCTTGTCCTGGGCTATAAATTATACAAACAATTTTGTTTATATGGTTTTCTTCCCAAGGCATTTAGGCCTAATGTGAGGGCATGCGCACTGACTGTGTTTTCCTTATGTGTGAACACAATCTGACCTACCACTGCTCAAGCACTTTCCTTGACTTTTCTTCCCTCACCTTCACAACCTTCCACAGTGGTAGACAGTCTTCCTGGCTTTGCACCTTCCTTTCCTAATTACTTCATCCAATACTGTACAGTACAGTACAGGTATATAATTATTTAGGAGTTAAAGCTATGCCTTGCAACAAGAGTAGTATGGGTACAATATATCAAACAAGGGTAAGAGGAACTTCCTTATGTGCTTGTGACCAGAGAGTAAAGTGGCTGGCAGAAGGGTATGGTATTGGTAAGAGCATTGTTTCTGACAAAGGAAGCAGATCATATACACACTACTTAATGAATAAAATAGAGCAATGACACAATGAAAGAGAAGTGACACGTCGTCATTGAAACTTTCTATGTACTGTATGAGGATTTGGATGGTGATGTTTACCAATGATTTATGCAGCACTGTAGCCTGGGGCTGGCTGTTGGTGGTGCACAGTTAGTCTCTAGCTGAAATATGGCATTAACATTGGGCTCTGAGAACTTTAAGGCCAATTTAGGGTGACTGTAGGATGGCATAGTACTATATCTGTATATTTTACTGCTCTGGGATATCAAGACTAACCAGCCTATACTAGAAAATGGTAAGTGATTAATTTAATTTTCATGCAAAATTATTTATATAAATATAATTATTTACACATTACTTGTATGAATAATTATTTGTATGTCTGAATATGCTGAAACATCCTTAATATAATTTGCTATAAACCTTGGTTTATTGGGTATTGAGACAACATGAGAGTGAGGGAAGAGGTACACGATGATGGTACTGAAATAACATGAGGGGTGAGGGAAGTACATGATGATGGTGCAAAAGTAACATGAGGGGTGAGGCATATGATCAAGATAGGGTAGTACAGATAACAAGCAGCCACTCACTGGCAACATGGCATTAAACAGGTGGGTAATAAATGATGCTCCACTGTTGACTGCCGCTTCACCATCCTCCAGATTACCATTGGAATGACCTGATCAGTGATATAAACGCAAAATATTAGTGCACACACTCGTAACGAGTTCGGTCTCCATTCACTTACATTAGCGAGTCATTTACAGCATTAACAAAATTCCTGATTTCTTAAAACAATGTTTCTGGGAAAACATATTAATGACTTTAACCCCATACATATCTAAATTTACCTGTGGCTACTGTACTTAGTGGTCATGGTGGGGATAGAAAGCCAGTAGTGTGTGAAACGTCTCCTATTCCTACAGAAGAGTTCTTCTAAATATATTTTAATTCAATTAAACTGTATATTACAGTAATTTATCTTTCTTATAACAGTAACAGATTTAGATCTAAGAATTTTTTCAATGCTTAGAATATCCTGAGTCAAGTTGGGTATGTCATCGGTCTATCTCAAAATCATACAGTACAATTTAATTTCCCATTAAGATACAGTAGCTTAATCAGCACAGTTACATTATTTAAGATACTGTAGCTTAATGGGCACAGTTTAGACTTTAAGCCCATATTTTTATCTTCAATATCTAACTACTGTATTAAAAAACGCCCTAGTGCACTTATAATGTTCAATTCTAAAACCACTAAACATGTAGAACAAGGCTGGGTTAAGACCATGTCACCAATATACACAATTCAATACTGTATCTACTATGATACATAACACATTTTCATTATGGATTTCATACAAGCCAACACATATTATTGTAAATTCAGATACTGAATAGTAACTAACTCACATGTTTAATGCTGGTATTATCAATCCACTGTAAGAATTCATGCAACTACTCTTCTACTGTTTGCTAACAAAATGCAGGTGTAGATCTCAATAATCATAACTCACCAACGGACACTACAATACCCTGACTTGCCAAGTGACCAATCACAGCTGTGGCCCCAGCAAGCTCCGGTGCAATGGTTACCATTCCAACATTATCAAGGCAACCATAAACATCATAAATTTTACTAATGCCCTGAAAAGAAATTACAAATTAATTCAGAAAGGATTGAGTATGTACATTGTAAAGGGGTACTTCAATTTCAAAGGGGCTTTCTTCAATTTCAGTAATTACACAAATTTCTCTGTTACTATTTGTTTCAGGTCAAACTGGAAAGAAAGCGGCTCATTTAGGTGATTGTATGAGCAGAATAAACTTGATAAACATTGAAAGTGAGGAGCACTTTGTACGCAAAACCATCGACTGTTTTTATGTGGCAGCTGAGGTCTTATAAAGCTCCACCTTCTCCTGAGACATCATATTTGAATCACTGTACATCATCATCATGATATAAATAATGGTTAATGAAACTACTGTACTTGATGATACAATATTTTTGATTGGATGGTCATTTCATAGTAGATGATCTGCTAATGCCTCATCAAAATGTAGAAGTGTTAAGGGCTTCCTATTCCCAACATGGCATAGCAATAATGTATTCTTTAAATATATTTAGCTCATATATTAATACTACACTATAACAATGTATATATTACCTCTTCAAGATTTTGTATAAATTGTGGAGGGTGTGCACCCTTCTTCTCTGGGCTAATGAAGGGACCCTCTAGATGAATGCCAAGTATGCCTGCTCCTTCAGGCCCTCCTGCCCTCTTCACTAGTCTTGGTATAACCTATTATAGTAAAAAAATAAAAACAGTAACCAATCAAAAGTATAAAAAATATTATTCATACTACAGTATATGCAATATCAAGCGCAATGGAGAAAATATGATAGGAGTCTGTCACAGTCAAGAGAAATAATAAATGTGAAATACAACAATGAGAAAAATAAAGGGATCATCAATTTACCTGATTATATTATATTACTCTAAGACACACTTGAAGTTATTACTAGATTGCCTTGGATATATTTGTACTTCTTAATCATATTATGAGGCCATGACATTGAAAAACATGCTTTATTTGTAAAAAGATATATGACACAATGTATAGAACTGTATAAATATATTTCTGGCCTGGAAAATGTGCAGTGAATACACTAAACATTACAGCCTACTGAAAAGTAGTGAAATAAATTCATTAGAGGTAAGTCCATAAACAAATGGTCAAAAGCTTTTCAGGAAAAGCTTTAACTACACTTTGTGTAATTGCATAATTGTAATTACCCCTGTACCTATCTTTTTGGATTCATATATATCTGCACATTTTATGTAAGTAGATTGCATATTGGTCTAGTCATAAATGTTTTTAGGATCTATACCATTGTGAACATCAGTGAAAGATTGACGTTTAGTTAGTAACTGAAGATTAAAGCTATGGCTGATGTCATATGAATCATTTGATACATTTGGCTTAGTATTTATAAGTGCACTTGGGTTTGAGTGTATTACAAACTTAACAAATTAGGAACTCCTGGAGAACAGATGTAGGGAATTAAAACATTGCCCGTAAGCTAGGCAGTTGTGTGACATTACAATCTTGCTGCCAAGATTTGTTCCTATTGATAAAAAGAAACATTATTATTAATCTAATAATAATAAAGTATTTATAGGGAAAAATTAAACAGGGTCTGATTACAATGTTCACACAGTAGGTATTTATATTTTTGTAAAGCAACTAATCATGTACAGTGAGTTCTATTAATTATTTAGCATCATTAAATGCTAGACACTGTTTTCTATGTAAGATACATCTCATGCTATCCTTTAATTGCTAAATTTTATTTTATAGTAGCTATTTTTTAATATATAATTTATTAGTTTCCCAGTGTTCAAGGACAAGAAGTCTGTTAGGCTTATCAACTCCTTTTATGTCAACAACTTCCTCAGGATGCCACCCACAACAGTTGCTTAACTCCTGGGTACTTGTCTACTGCTAGGTGAACACAAGCATCGAGTGAAAGATAACGAGCCCAAACATCTCCATCTTCATAACGAGAATACTGCACTGCAGGACCCTATTGGTTAAAATACCTCCATTATTTCTTTGAAAATATATAATGTATAAGTTTGCATTTCTTCTCTTACTCGTGGTCGCGACCAGGAGGCCTGGTCGACGACCGGGCCGTGGGGACGCTAAGCCCCGGAAGCACCTCAAGGTAACCTCAAGATAAGGTGGTTTTTGTTGCTAGACTGGACTATGTAAAATTATCTAGCTCAAGCCAAAAGCTGTAAACCAGTGTAGTCTTGATAAAGTCTGTGTTGTATCTTGAGGATACCATTAAAGTTTCTCCTTGCAACCTTTGATGATCATTTGTACAATCATTCTTGAACAGCTGCGAATGTGGGAAATCTAATATATTAATCATGCTAATGGTTTCCCTCGACATATTCAAATTTTCTTTTTTGTCACAATGTTAAATTCACAGGTGGGTTTTACGGTTTTACCTGATGGTAAACTGAGTTTGGGGAGGTAACAACAGTAGGTGCTATGGAGGTAACACCGGCCGAGAGAACACCTTTGGCCACTTTTGACACAGCCTCCTCCAAATTATTTACGTCTGATGAGAAGTCATACCCAAACCCTCCTGAAACAAAAACAAATTCAAGTGACAAATTCAATGACATGTTGTATAATAAACATTAATAAAAACATAAATGCCATACAATTCAGTCAGATGAATATAAAATTTTAATCTACATCCATAAATAAAATGTGACCGTTTGATAGCACAGTGACATGAAAGATATATTTATTAAATAATCCAACAGGAGTGAATTCTTGCATTTTATATAATGAATTACTGTAAAAAAAATATGCTTAAAGCAGAAGTAATAAATTTCAAGTTTAACAACATCATTGCCATTCCACAGCTATGAGCACCAGGACTAGTATCTCGTAATGTTAAATTAATTACCTGTATAATATAATATGGATATGAGAAAATCAGTAGAAGCCATGATGAAGATTCAAACCTGCCCACTGTGTACTCCCAGGTATGCCCTAAGCAATTTGGCCATGAGATGCTCAAAAGCAATGCAACCTGGGAGTCAACTGACTCCTCTAGGGGTACTGAGGCTTCTACTGAACCCCAATCAGGGTTTCATGCATTGCCTGCATGCACTCTGGCTGTGGTATAGGAGTTCAGCCCACTATGCTTCTCTTCAAATGCACAAAGAAATCCCATTATGTGATTTCTTTGTGAATAATATGGGTATCTTTCTAGTGGTGCAACTCCAAATCTATGATAAAAAGTAAGCAAGAATAAAATTAACAAAAAAGTGTACAGTACAGTATGATGAATAAATAAAGTAGAAGGATGGTTGTACTGTACATAGATGTGACCACAATTGTAACAACATTAGTGAGTTGAAGAGCAGGAACTGCTGACAAGTATATGAAGAAAAACACCATTCGACAAAACTTTATTTAACAATGCTTCACTCTGTGCAAACATCAAGCTCATATCAAGCAAAACATTATTTAAAAACAAATGGCTGTCCCTGAATGATGTTTTTTCACTAAACTAAATTTCATATTTTGAATGAACATACTTTTTATACACAACAGATCCATCAGATCAATTGTCTTTCAGTATACTAGTCTATTATAAACAAATTGAGATATTTTGTTCTAAAATAAAATTAAAGTATGAAAATTATTATCAAAATAGGAACAAAATATTTTAAGACCCTTACCATTTATTTGGATATCAATGAATCCCGGGCAGATGAGTGCATCATGACAGTCTATTTTCACGTCTGCGTGTACTCGTTCATCATAGAAAACAGGTTCTGGGTTGAGAATTTTGCCGTCTCTAATCCAAAAGTCATCCTTGATGATACGTCCCTCTCGAACTAAACGGCAGTTGATAAATTGATATATTTTTGAATGCTTGGGGGTAGCACTACCGCTTGAAGGAATTATTGAAGGCATCGTCAATACAGTACTTTATTAACGATTTGATCTCAATGCTGAGTAAACATAAAACTTGAGCCCACTTTATAGTCTTGGCAAATACCTCTCAGTGATACTATATCCTTTGAGCAAAGTCCTGTATAAACAAATAAAATAATGTACAGTAATGCAAAAATATAATTACAGCATACAGTACTGTACTGCATTAAGAAGAATGCATAATTGGCTATACTGTAGTGGAGTAATATAAATACAATATGTAATTCAATTACAAATTTTGGATTGTCTTCATGATAATAGTCTGAAAGAAGCTGGAATCCCAATTACTACGCTTGAGGGCATCATGTCACCTGTAGGTATATAAGGAATTTGAAACAAAGAGATAGTGATTAACTTTATATAATTTCCTATGCAGTATAGTGCATTGTGGGTCACAAATGGAGACACATGAACAAAATACAATAGTATTTGTTAGTAGCTTGACTACAAGGGAGCAGCTTGTGCTTATTCTCTCCTAAAATGTATTAAAAAGAGAAAGAGCACAAGTTGTGTATATTCTCATGTGAGACACGCTGGCCCTTCACCAATGTACAATCTCATTATCTTCTTTCATGTGTTCTGTAGATCAAATGTGCCTGTGGGTGCACTCTAACCGAGTCTGTAGGGTTGACTCTCCTACCTTCATTTGAGAGGGTCTACGAATACACAAAAATACATAATTCTATCTATGAATGTAGCAATGACAGTAGCCTACCCAAGAAACTATACCATTAGGCATTCTCAAATGATTTTCTATCTAGTACAATATTACCCAACAATGTTATAAACAAAATCATTAAACCCCTAATATCATCATCACATTATGATATATGCCAAGCCAATGTTTAGATATTTAAAGACCCCATATAGTTCTAACACACGGGAGACATCTCCTGTCACGCAGGGTGCAGTCGCACCTCCACAGATCTCCAGTATCATCTACTGATACTGGAAATGGCTCAAAAGGGCCACCACTTATGGGCTATTCATGCCCGTGCCACCTTTTGGGTGGCTTAATCTTCTCTCTCTCTCTCTCTCTAGTTCTAACAGCTTAATGGTATCTCTCAGGAGTTATATGCATGAGTAATAGAAATATTTGTTTAATCAAAATTAGTAATCATTAATAATATATAAAATATATATAAAAAGAATCCCCCAGCATGGTAAAGACGGTACACAAGAATGACCTATTTAAGACATGTTATAATAACCTTTAGTGTAGTGAACATTATACAGTACTGTATTTATACACAAGAGTTGGGTCATACAACAGACACACGTAAGCAACACACTTTCATAATTAAGCATGGCAATACAGGTTAAGTTCATCTTCAAATATTAAATAATGCTGAGTTTATTTAATATGGCAGGATAGTGTAAGGTCAGAGAACTGGACTCTTCAGGTCATTCCTAAAGTCACTTGCACTTGAGGACCTCTCGACTAAGTACAGGTGTTGCTGGGTGTAGAGAATACACTCATGTGTTGCGGGGTCTCAAGACTATAGACTGAAGAGTTTACGCTCACACTCCACAATATACCTGCTCCACTCCACACTACACCGGCTGCTGCACTACACTCCACACTAAATGTAGCACAATCAGCTGCGGCTGCTGCTACCGGTGAGGCTGAGATGTCTTCACGAGATGTCTTGCTGTGCTCAAGTCATTCCTTGAGCTCAAATATATTCTTCACCATATGTTCTACGTTCAGTAAGACTTTCATATTTAAAAAATCTTTGTTTTCTCATTGATAAAATGCAGACAAAACGATATGCATATATTTTATGTTACTTTACCCTAGCAGTCTACGAATATTTTCAAAGATCTTGTTTACTTCAATCAGCTGATGGAGGGTAAGTGTTGTAATATTATATTACTATAGGCCTATACATTATTTGGATATTTCGAAGTTATATATACAATATACCTTCGAACATTAGTAAAAATAAATACATTATATTTACAATCATCTTCGATAATAGTAAATTTATGAGGTGAATCAGGTATAATTCATAGAATATGGAACAAATTAATTTAGGAGAAACATTGGTATTGTTACTTTTGTATTTACGCCCGGCGTATTTATTTGCTATTTATATATATATATATATATATATTTTGGTAGCAGTCTTTCCTGTAGACATATATTATTATCCTTGTTCCTTATCCTTGTATTATCCAACTATCTCCTTGTTCTCACGAACAAGGAGATAGTTGTCAGGAGAGGTGACAAGTCGCCAATATATGTCATTCTTAAAAAAGACGAATATCTGGCGAAAATGAACATCATACTCTCTGACCAAACTAAGTTCCAAAGGGTAACGAAGGACACTACAGCCGAATTAAAAGCAAAGGTCAACAAACTGATCGAAACTGTGAACGCCAAGAAATCCGGACTCCACCTGCCAAAGATCATTGGGGAATATAAACCTGGATATGCGTATGGAAATGTCAAGACGCACAAGCCTGGAAACCCACTTCGGCCAATCATTAGCCAGATACCCACACCCACGTACAGACTGGCGAAGCGACTCAACGGCCTGCTGACTCCTTATGTTCCTTGCGCCTTCAGCCTGAAGTCTCCAAAGGAATTTGTGGACTTACTGCGGGGCGCACGGGCCACAGGGATAAGAGCCTCGTTGGACGTAGAATCGCTGTTTACCAACGTACCTGTGGACGAGACAATCGGAATGATAGCCGACAGAGTGTATCGTGATCCAGCCTGTGCTCCTCTTGACATGCCAGAAAGTATTCTGAGGAAACTACTCCAAGCTTGTACTAAAGAGGCACCCTTCTTGAGCCCGGATGGGCACATGTATAAGCAAGTAGATGGGGTCGCCATGGGTTCTCCCCTAGGTGTCCTGTTTGCAAACTTCTACATGGGTACCATCGAGCAAAAAGTCTTAGTCGACATGAACTTGAAACCGGCCATATACTGCAGGTATGTTGACGACATTTTTACACAGGTACCTGATGTCAGACATCTGCAGGAGCTGAAGGAGGCATTTGAGCAGAGTTCCGTGCTGCGTTTCACTTACGAGACGGAAAAGGATGGGAAGCTGCCTTTTCTAGATGTAACAGTCATGGAAAAGGGCGGAGGTTTCCACACTGCAGTCTACACAAAGGAAACAAACATAGGAATGTGCCTAAATGCCAACAGCGACTGCCCTGACAGGTACAAGAGGAGTGTTGTTAACGCATACGTCGACCGTGCTCTCAGCCACAGCTCAGAATGGAAGCAAGTCGACGAAGAACTCTGTAGGGTAAGGCAGGTCCTAGTCAATAACGGCTTCTCCAATGGTTTCATCGAAGACATCATAAGAAGGAAAGTGAAAAGCCATGCAACCTCCGAAGAGACAACTAACACAACACCTATACCCCCTATTAGACTATTTTACAGGAACTTCTTTTCCACAGCTCATAAAACAGAGGAAAGGGTCCTGAAAGATATTGTTAATAGAAACGTTATCCCTACAGACAAAAATCAAAGGATACAACTGACGATTTACTATAAAACCAGAAAAACGGCCAGCCTACTCATGAGAAACTCTCCAGACACGAAACAGAACGCTTTAAAAGAGACTAACGTCGTCTATGCCTTCAAATGCCCACTTGGGGACTGTAAGCTCCAAAAAACCCAGTATATAGGCAAGACAACAACATCTCTTTCTAGGCGTTTAACGATGCATAAACAACAGGGCTCCATTAAGGAACATATAATCTCTTCCCATAACCAAACCATCGCCAGAGAAATCCTAGTAAACAACACAGAAATCATCGATAGATACAGCGATAGCAGGCGGCTTGACGTTTGCGAGGCACTACACATCAAGAAGTCAACACCAGCAATCAACAGCCAATTATTGCACAACTATATTCTACCCACCTCAAGACTCCGCTCCAATATAGAAGCATCAAGAAATATGGACCAATAGGCTTTCTACAAACACTTCTATTCAATACCCATTGTTTCTGTTCTGTCTTGTGTTGATACTTTTAATACCCTATTAATATCCCCTAGTGTTCTGTCTTGTGTTAATGCCACATCATCCTTCCCACCTCACTCAAATGTAATGCCACATCATCCTTCCCACCTCACTCAAATGTAATGCCACATCACCCTTCCCACCTCACTCAAATGTAGATATAAAATCAGGGAAACGCAAGTTCTAATCAGTTGTGTATTTGTGAAGTCTTTGAAAATGTAATAAGTTTTACGAAACGCGCCCGTGTCGCGTCAGACTAGAAATAAAAATGAATTTTGGAGAAGTGATTTTTGATTTACCTCCATCAGTGAAGCGCAATGTACGAAAGATTGAGAAAATTCGTGTTAGAATTATTAATCTTACTTTTTCGGTCATATTTAATAATATATATATATATATATATATATATATATATATATATATATATATATATATATATATATATATATATATATATATATATATATATGTATATATTTATATGTCTGGTTAGAAGTGTTAATTGTTAGCCCTGTGGACCTTAACCGGTCTGGAAGGATTTTTATAGCTCTGTGTTAAACTTTCTACAGAACAGATATGTCGTTTTGAGAGATGTCTTCATGCTAGGATACAGTAGCACAGATGGGAGCGCACCAGCAGGGACTTGCAAGGTTGAATAACCCCTCGAAGTCAAAGGTTCGTTTAACTATTATTATTATTTTTTTACTGCCGCACCCACTTGTTGTATAATAAGTTTCAATGATTGGTGAGCCTAACTGTGAAAGGTCCTTTTCTTCATCGGTCTGCTGCATGATAATGGTATTATGATAGTCAAGATGTGCAGTGTTATGCCCTAAATGCAAGGTCTTGCAGTTTGTGACGGTAACGCGTTGGTGTTCGGCTGTTTCAAAAGCTAGGGGTATGGCCTCGTCACATAAAGAAACAAAAAGAGAAAATCTGGAACTTTCGTCTGTGGTAAGGTAATGGGAAGACACACAAAACATAAGTAAATTTAACAATGAGATTTTAATTACGTTAGAAAAGCAAAACATGAATAAAATTGGACATAAAAATTGTAACATAAATCGACCAAACAAAATAATAAGAATAATCACTGGCAAATGAAAAGTTACGTTAAGACAAGTGAATAATAGACAAGGAAATATATGAGTGCAGGAATATTGGCTTCAAGCTGCCACCTCCCTTAGTACACGTAGGCCAAGGCTTAGTCTACCAATGAGACGTGTTAACTTGTGGAGAGCACGATATATTCTGATGACATTAGGTTGCGCTGGCTCAGACATCAGCTAGTGTGGCGGGCGAAGGAGCAGGTGCGACGGGCGCCAGCCAATCAGCGTTAGGCAGGCGACGGACAAGTAGTTTGCTGGTTTGAGTGGCGGAGGTGGAGCAGGTGTCCCGGTGCTGAATACGTTTGCTCTCTGGGCAAACCTTGGTGTTGTACTTGTTGGATATATCTTCTATATTAGTTGTTTTGGAGACGTAGTTTGGAGGGAAGAGCAGGCTCAATCTCTCTTGAAAGAGATTATCGTCACAAGTTCAATACTGAAAAGCATTTGCCAGTCTTCTAACCATTTAGTCCCCGTGGCGTAGTGGTAAGACACTCGCCAGGCGCTTCGCGAGCACTTTGGCCTGGGTTCGGATCCTGGCCGGGAAAGATGGACCGGGCGTCAATCCTTAACTGCAGCCTCTGTTCACCCAGCAGTGAGCATTTGGCGGGTCGTATTCAGAGGAAAAAAATGGAACACTTTAAAGGGACCGCGTCGTACATACACGACGGGTTTGCTTATGTGGGTTCTGCCCCCGCGTCGTAAATAGCCGTGCGATGTAAAAAAGCAACATAAAATCCAATTCTTATTCGATCGACTTGGGGTTAGTATGAAAATGTTTGCCATTAAATTTTCGTTTTCTCTAATACACACCTGCCTATTTGAGAAAACGGCATTGTATTGTAACTTAGTGGAGAGACTATTGAGTTGGTGACACAACGAGGGTAATCGCCCACTTCACACACTCTTGTGTGGGCCGCGATCATGATTCTACATTTATATGCATATGTCTGTGTAGAGAATTTTATTGCGAGTTCAGTGATATAAAATTTAACGCTGTAGGACTAATGTGGAGCTGACAGCAAACAAAAGAGTATGAACATTTTGTCGCTGTTTGGGCGTACGGCGAGTGATCTACGTTTTTATTTATTTCGTGGTGGAATAGCTAATGCTTTGGTTACATTTTATACATATGATCTTGTAGAGAATTTTATTGCCAACACATTGATACCAAAATGAAATACGTAGCTCGAGAATTGATGTCAGGAGAGTGAAAAGATTACACACTGTTTGGTGTTTACGCTCAAGAGCCCAAAACGCCGCGCGCACAATGCGTTATTTTTTTTCACGGGGCGCGCGCGCATTAAAGTGTTTATTAAGGGCCTGACCGGAACGCTATACGTGCTAGTGGCTTCACAAAAATATAAGAACTTGTATATAAAACAAATAAAATGTAGTTCACGCAGATAATAATAATAATTTATTCACAAGAAGGTACAATGGGTTGACGAGATTACATAACACTGGTATTTGTACATTCTTGTAAAACCACGAACACGCATAGCACGCATGTACGGCCGCTTCCTACTTTACCTTACCTCTTAGTGTCATCTTCAAATTTGATTTATCTTACCTAAGTTT